CTGTAGAGGACCATATCACTGGGTTTCCATTTTTACGTCTTTCTTCCCCGTTTCCTGACTAGCAAGGTCAAACTGTTGTAATCCACTACTTGAGATGCTGGCTTTCCTCAGACAAGCACCACACCACTCTGTGTCTGGTTTGAACATCCCTCACAAGCTAGAAACTCAGGAGGAGTTTGGTGAGATGGGTGAATAAGCTTTGAGAAAACATACGAGGCATTTAAGCATGCATTTTTGGGATTTCAGCTGAGTCACAGCTGAAACTCAATAGTTCTGTGTTCACTGGCTTGTTTCAACCCGGAGCCAGTAAGGCTGTGAACAATCAAACATAAATCAGCATTTTGACAAGGTTTCACCAGCTCCAATGACACAAAACTGTTTTCCCAACTAGCAAAGGGAAGTTTTGAAGAAGTTAGTGCAGAGGAGTCACACCTGTGATGCCTGGTGCCAGATGACAGCTCATTTCACTTTTTTCTTTATTTTTTTTTAATGTGCAAAGTATTCTAGAGCTCATCTAGCTATTTATCTGATATTCAAACACAGACAGATGGTGGTTAGCAAGTAGACCTCTGTTTTCCCAGGAGGACTGTTTCACATTTACCAAAAAGAATCCATCTTTCCTAACACCTGTCTTGTTTTTGGAAAAGTATCATTAAGCCATCTGAACAAACCTGAGAAGGTGAAATGCAGCTGTAGCCCAGCACTCAAAGCCTGAGCATCTCTGGGCTCAGAGATGGAGCTATCGTCGAAGCTAAGCGAAGACCAGGCTGCAGTTTTAACAGCCTTGGTTTTGTCTCCCCTCCTCTTTCTCCCACCTATATCTGTGCGCTCTTCCCTCCTGTCAATTCCCACCTGCGTCTTGAATTTTCATTAAGAACTTGCAAAATAACAGGAACTGAACCAAACTCCTTTTTACAATGGCAGGCTTGGACTTGGTGTCCTGGCTCGGTTGCAGGCCAAAGGATCCACTCAAGCAGCTGATGGTGGCTCCAATGTGGGAACCAGCAGCGAGACAGAGAGAAACACTAACCCATGGCTTGCCCATCACGACTGCCACACACAGGGGCATTGGTTAAAAAGCACTTTTTTCCTGGGCTGTTTACAGAAGAGAGATGGCTCAGCTCCAGTTACACTATGACTGACCTCGTACCTCCTCAACCAGTGAAGATGTATAATCCAGCGAGGAGAATCCTCTGTTCACATAGTATATTTATAGCCTTGTTTGATGGGACAGAAAGACTTGAAAGCCTTGAAGTCCACTTGGACAAGAGCTTTGTTGCTCTGCTGTCAGCCGGGCTGGGCAAATATCTCTACTTTGGGGATGGGGAAGGCAGCGTGAGAAGCAGCAAACCTGTTTCAGTGGCGCAGCAATATGTGTTCCTGCCCCGGCATATCGCCATCTAACCTCTTCATGCCCCAGGGCTTTACATGGAGTGATCCAGCTCCCAAGCAGCACTTAGCTGGGGCAGGATGAAGCCTCGTGTTCAGCATCTTCCTCCAGCATTACCCCGCACACTGCCCATCACATTACTCGCTCATGTCTGGGTAAATACCGCGATAGCTCAATGTAGGTTACTTGAAGTGAAGGTTGCAGGATTGTATTACACAGCGTAAAGAGGGCATTCAATGCCTCACAGGCTTGTGAAAGTCTGTTGCAATCGGTTTTTTTGTTGTTGTTGTTTGGGAGAACAAGGCTGCTGCAAATACCAAGGGCCAAACCCACCCTTGCCTCAGCGGTGGATCATTTCTGAGCCCAAGCTTTGGTGCTGCTATGGTGAAGATGGTGTCTGGCAATGACCGGCCATGTTGCCTCTTCCTCGTGCTGCCTGCAGTGCCGTTTTGCACGTGCTCTTTTTGTCTCCGAAATGGGATCATGTGCCATGCCTGTGTTTATTCAGGCCGCGTGGCACCTTGCTGCTGGTGAGGGCAGCCCCAACGCCTTCCGAACTGCTGCTTAAAACCAGTCAGCCCTTCCGGGATCAACAGCTGGGTTTCACAATAGAAAGAGACTTTAAAGGAAAAACAGTGTTCGCAGGCAGGCTGTGTTGCGAGAAAATGCAGTCTGCTGTGACCGGTGGGCATCAACCCTTTATTTTGGGATCAGGAGGCAGGAGGTTCATAGCTTCACCTGCTCTCGATTCTGTTGCCCTGTCCTCCACTGGCCTTGGTGTCACCAGCTCGGAGAAGAAATCACTGGGCTGAGTCATCCACTGTAAATATTTTGTTTGTTGGTGCTTTGTATTTGTAATCCTCTGCTCCAATGTTTGGATTGCATTTTTTCTAGCTCTAATGTAATCTATTTTTGTATGATATTTAATTAAAGAGATACAAATAATAAGTATTGTAAAAATATATATTGGATGGCTGTTCACCTGCTGAAATGAATGCATATAACCTGAATGGGGCATTAAAAATGATAAAATAAGACAGGATTTTCTTATTTTTGAACTGTGGACTTCCTAGTGTATAATGCTCTAGGAAAAGGGTTTCAGTGGACTTTAAATTGTTTGCTACAAAAAAATGCAAGATGGCTTTTGTGTTTATGTATCCTTCTCCTGCACTCTTGAAGCAATAGAGAAAACGTTTTGGCTGAATGGATTACCTTGTGTCGTGGAAGCAGGAGCCAAGCTTGCTTGACTAGTGAAATCCAGAGAGGCCGAAGATGTGGACTGGTGCTCTAAAGACAAACAAATTACACGGTATCACATTTAGCCGATAGGGTCTTTTTAAAATAATATTAATAAATCATAACCCGGAACAAAGACGTTGCAGTAGCTGTCGGGTAAATGCAGACTCTGCAGCGGGAATCCCGCTGTTGGAGTTAAGGTTAAATGCTCAAAACACATCTGACAAATGCTGGGGGCACTCAGAGATGGCTGATGTTATTAATGCTGACCCTTTCATGCAGGCTAGCTGCGTGCATCATTTATTTATGTTCTTATACACCAGGTTCAGTGTAAGTGCTGTGGGGTGGGCAGTGCCCCTGATGGTGGTGCTCCCCTGCCTAGCCAGGGCCTTGCCAGAAATGGTCCTGACAGCACACGGCAGCCATGTACGCCCAGGGGATCCCTCCCTACTCCTGCGAGTTTTCCTCACAATTGCTGAGGACAGTTCTATATAGTTACCCATATGCATGCTCTGGTAAAGCAGGGTTATTTATCTTCTATCTTTAATGAATGGGAATGATGTGCTGCTGTTGGGTCAAAGGAAAGTGGTGGTTTTAACTTTTCTACCACATGCCACGCTCTGTTGTAATAAGACACATTTGTTCACAGTTGCATATTCCATTTTATAAGAAGGCAGAAGAAAAATATGTGAAATTCAGCATGCCATTTTACTTGCTGTCCTAACGTGACAGTTTTAGTAGGATTTGTGTCAGATCTCTTCTTGGGTAACATCACAGCTCACAAATTGCCATCCAGCAGCACACAGGTACCATCAGTACCAGAGCACACTGACCTTTTCCTGGCATGCCTCTGGCTCTGTGTACATGACTTTCAAGCAGTGGTCAAGCAGAGATCCTACATATATTGACTGAGTAATAAAGAAGGTGCTTTTTTTTTCCCCTTACCTGAGGTAGTCATGACAGCTGATGGAAGTGCTGAATTTCCAAGGTCTATAACAAATCAAACCAAATACTGTTATTCAGGATGAGAAAGGTGTTTATTCTGCTTTAGAATAATGGGTGATTCACAGGTTCAAGCGTGAGTGTGTCATGCTTAATTTCCACGTAATTTTTCAATGCACAACTGAGCCAAGTGGTCCAGCGAGAAACATGAAGCAGCAGAGGTAACTGTGTTGTGAAATCCATAGGGAAACAAAGGTTTGGGGGGAAAAGGGTTTGGACCCCCTGGCACTTCAACTTGAAGAGCAGAAGTGAGTTACTTGGTTTTATCCCATACAAACAGATGCACCTTATTAGCACGTGTGTTGAAATAACACATGAGCCAGTGGTGGCACCTGCATACTTCTATCCACGAGGGGGTTCAGAGACTGCAACTCTGACAGGGAATTTCAGGGATGTTTTGCATGGAAAAGCGCTCACTGAGTCCGCAGAGAGGAGGAAAGGGAGTTATTCTCTGTGATTAAAGACCGTTAAGAGCCAGCCAAGCACAGCAGAGATACCATCCTGCCAAAGCAGCAGCAATTACATCCAGAGTGAGAGATGTCTCTTTTTTCTTTTTTTTTTTTCTTTTCTTTCCCCCAGGAGCTGAGGCAAAATATCCCCTGAGTAGGTTAAGAGAAAGGATTAAATCTCCCCAAAGGGCTTGATGAAGGAGGTGATCTATGAAAGCTCACACACCCTATTAGAAAAACGTATCTGGGAAGGCAGCCCGAAGGTACCTCTGTCTGGTCGAGCATGTTGAGTGGGGAGCAACCTTCCGTAGGTAGGATCTTAGCGTATGCAGGTAACCATCAACTCCCCAGCTGCTTTCCTTTGCAAGCATTTGTGCCTCCTTTGGCTGTTTTGAGTGTTGCTCTTCCATTAGCATTTCATTTTAGCCTGCGCTAACAGGGATTTCATAGTAGCTGGCTGACATAAAAGGACTCCTTACCAACGATGCAGCAGGTCTAAAATCCAAAAGGCTTCAGCTGAGGTGTGGAGGGAACCATTTATCTGCCTGCAGTAAGCTGGTAATAAGGGAAACTTGCAGGGGCGGAGTGTGGATTTACCAAATTTATACAAATTAAGAAACATCCCATCAGTTCCTTAATTAGGCAAAAATGTTGAGGATCTTGGCTGTGTACTTAAGTAGAAGATAGAACCATTAGTTGGGCTGTTATTTTTAATTACCAGTTCAGTGCTGAAAGAGCTATACTCAAATGCCAGCTGAAGCATCAGAAATAACTGTGTCCCTCAAGGTTGGAGTTTAATTATGCTTGGGCTTAATTACGATAATTACATCACCAAAATACCTGTTTATTCTATGTTTTCTGAAGTCACAGCCACAGAAAGGGCTACCTTACTACCCATCCAGAAACAGGTTTGCAAAACCATTTCTCCAGCAGCTTTAGGAATTTATAGATGCACCTCTAACATAACCCAAGTTATTTCATTCCCTAATTTATCCTACCTTGTGAAGTCATGGTGGAAAAAGCTTCGGATGAAGCTTCATTAGACTTATTGTCTGTGAAGAAAAAAAAAAAAGAAGGAAGATGAATGTATTTCTTAAAAGTAGTTAGGCTTTTGTTATAAAGGCTAAAAATTTAGTTTGGGGTTTGTGTCATACTGTGCATTAGTATGGCACCTTCACAGAACATAGATGAGAATTAATTTAGTTCTTTCCTTTCTGTCACATCTAAATACATTAACATTTTTACACAGTGTGGATCTATCTTAGTGTTAGCATAGCCTGCAGGCAAGAATACAGACTGCTTTAACTGACGGCTCTCCAATTTGAATATATTTCTACAAAACTGCAAATTGGCTGAAATGAGTAATTTTGGAGAAAAACGATCATTTATCTCCCTTCCCTCTGAAGCTGTATTTCCAGAGGAGTAAGCTCTGGCTTTTGATGCAGTCTTTCTCTGTGGAAAAACATACCAATAAGGATGTCCACAGCCACAAGTGAACACAGCTGAGCTGCAAGTAGTCGCCATGGTGTGTGACGTACCTGTAGAGATTGCTAAGGGGCCAGAAGTTCAGCTGTGTTAACTGTGCATCAAGTAGCATACATGGTAAAAAAACCCACTTAACTACGCATTTGCACTTGAAGAGGAAGCACAAACAGAAGGGTGCTAAAGGAAATAAGTCTGCCCTCCTCACCAGCCACTCTGCATCCTCAGAAATGCTGTAAACCTCTGCACCAGTGTATCTTCTGCTTTCACCAACTACTTGAGACAGTATTCCTTCACACTCCCCTAATCGTGTAGCTAATTCTTCTAGTACAGGTTATAGGGGAGGTTCTCCATTGTCCAAAATTGTTCAGCTGTTTTAGGGGCCTTTTACAGGTTCCACTGAAGATGCCCAGCATGGTACCTTTTCCCCCACCAGCTCTTGGACCTCTCTACAGCCTTAAAAATTCCCGTCAAGCCTTGGCCATTGTGCAATGAGTTTGGAGGTTAAGCATCCTTTGGCTGTACCAAACACTCTTGCGTTGCTAATGTGAGGAACAGCACTGATCATACCAGGAATTTAGTTTCCTGGTCATGGTGCATACCAGCAATTTGGCCACTTGGCCATGGTGGGGAATAAGAATGGAATAACTAATCATTCCCTGGTAGCCCTGGAACACATCGTAACTTGGGTAGGTCAATACCAGTGATCACTGGCATCCCAGTAATTGCCAATCAGATTGTGGCCAGGATGGAAATTTACTGATGTCTGAAGTCAATCATCTCACAACCCTATAAACAGCAGTCTTAAGTGAAGCCCTTTGAGCTCACCCGGACTACAGTGGGCTGCACCGAGCATCGCCCTCTGAGTGGGATGCCTCTCAGAGCTTGTGAACTCTCAAGTTTGTGAAACTGGAGGACCGTAGTCAAAGACCGATGACGAGACCTGGGCTGAAACCCCGACTCCTTGAGGCTCAACCCCTCGCCTGCTGAGAGATGCAAAGGCATCCAATGTGAATATTTTCACTGAACTCAAGGGGAAATTTTTAGAGGTGTACATTTGTGTGTATATATACACCTATCTCTATCCCTGTATCTATAATCTCTGTGTGTGCATGCAATTTGATTTTAAAACTTCAACGCGGTTGTGGTGTTGATTCACTGATAATTAAGTTCTGATTGAAAACTATATAATCTAATCTTGTGATCTATCTTAAAAGCGTTAATGAACTTTAAATTGCTGTCATTCTACCTCAAATTGCTGCTATTCCAAAGCTATACAAAATACAAAATGATATGTTAAATCACCACACTGAAATCCCTGTACCTAATCCCTTTACAGATAAACCACTGATCAAGTATGGGACTAGGAGTGGATTCAGCTGCACCTAGACTCCTCTCTGAAAGGCATTTTAGAAAGCAAGCTGGTCCACTCTGAACCTCAGGACTCAGTGGGAGGATGTCCCTCATCTTCTTTCCC